AACCTTTATGCATTTGGAGGTTTTACCTATATTATGTGGAAAATGAAAACCATAACATTCAGGCTTCAGTGGAAGCCTAGCAGAAGACAACCGAGTGGAAAATAAGAGTGGTGAACATTGCCTACTGACTACTGGCCACCTTCTCTTCGGGTAAGTAATAAATGTAGCATATTTTTAATTTTTAACTTGTTGCATAAAGGCATCCAAAGTTTTCTTAAAAGCACTCATTTGATTAAAAAAAAAAATAATATCTCTTTTCAATATTTATCACATCAACATTGATTATATTTAACTTCATTATGGAATGGGACCCTTGGTCCACTAATTCAATTCTATTATTGTTTTATATTTTAAATAAATATATATTTTGGAAGAGAGATCAAATGAGATGTCATAGTCTTACAAATATTAAAGTAAATATGACAATGGATGTTGGTTGATGCATGTGCCGTAACAAACAACATCATGGATATTTAATGTCATGAAAAATCAATAAAACATTCCAATTATTCATTAAGCATTAAATAGATTTTTCTCAAATACAAAAGGCAAACAATATTAAAATTAGCGGTTTACGATTTTAAAACATTTTATTTAAATAGAGCTTCATTTTAAGACCAATATTAATATGCTTTATTATATGATTATAAAATATTTTAAATTTATGGACATGTTGATATTTACTAATTGACCCTTGTGATATAAAAATAAATATGTGTGGCTACATATACCGGCTGCCGCCAGAAGGTAATACTTAATGGTAGCCGACGGGTCAACTGTTGAAATATGAAAATCATGGGAAAATGGCCGAGTAGTGGATCCACCCAAACTTGAATAACTAAGTGAACTGGTCAATGTATTGAATAATGATGACCGATGATGGCCAAATGGTAAGTGTATTAATGATGGTCGATGATGTGGAATGGCCATATGGTAAAGCCATGAGCAACAGATAGTACATAGATATGAATGGCTATATATACATGGGCCAGCCAGTACGGCTCTGCCGGGCGACGGGCAATACAAATTAAGTGATAACCGATGAATGAAATGAATAATATTTTGTATCTGGCTATGTGAAAGTGGAATAAAATCCTGATCGTGAAAGGAAATTATATGGAATAATATGATCCTGAAAACAGTTGATAAATTCTTCAAATTTATGGAGTAACGAAAATTGATGAGATGATACCAGAAGTCACCATATGATACCAAAAGCTACCACATAATGATGAGATCATGGTGTAGTGATACTTGAAGCTACCACGTTATGATAAATTAAAGTGATGAAGTGGTACAAGAAGCTATCACTAGAAAATTGAACAATTTGAGAAAGTGGTATCAAAAGCTACCAGTTATGAGCGATCACACAAAATTATTTCTCAATATATGAGTCTAAGGGAAGATATCTGCTGACAAGATCACATTGATAATATGAGATCATATAATTATTACAATGATGTGCTCCAGAAGAAGCACACATGACAATAATTGTAGTCATGAAACACTACACACTTCTTGTGGAAAAGCAAAATTGATATTATTATTAATGAGAAACAAGTACAAAAAGTTCATATTGTGGAAATATGGAGAAAAGGCAGTACATACTCGATAAATACAAAACACGCAAATATTACATAATAGAACCCATAAAAGAAGGGTGCGTCTCGAGAGTAGAAAACTCCGTAACTCTGCCACCCATTATTGTTATATGGGTTCATAATGAGAGATCTAAAGGATCAAAAGCTCTTTTTCTTTTGACCCCTTGTGTTTCCACATAATCTTGAAATGTGATGCATTCTTGGAGCTTTTTGATAAGCTCACCAGACGTATCTGCAAATTTGAATACTTCTCTTGTTGTAGAAGATATAAGGGTTTGATATACTCCTTGGTCTAAAAATCCAAGCAAACCAGAAAAAAAGTTATTAAAATTCAATAGACCTATGGGCTTGTTATGAAGTTTTAATTCTGCCCA